GGGGCACCTGGGTGGCTCAGTCAGATAAGTGTCTTGACTTCAGCTCAGGTCATGATCCTGGGGTCCTGGGATCGAGCCCCGTATCAGGGTCCCTGCTCAGTGGGGAGTCTGCTTGTTCCTCTCCCTTTCCCTCTGGCCTTCACCCCGCTCATGCACTTGTGCGCGCTCACTCTCTCTCAAATAAATAAAATCTTTAAAAAAAATTGAATCAGCAATTAAAAAGTATTAAAGAAAATTCCAGACTCTGAGGATTTCACCAATGTACTCTACCAAAATCTAACAGCACCAATCTTAAAAAAAATAAATAAAAATAACAGCACCATTCTTATACTCTTTCAGAAAAATAGAAGAAAATGAGACGATCAAAACCTTGATACCGAAACCAAAAAGGCATTCTGCTCACTCACACAGACACAACATTCTGAAAAGACCATAAGCAAACCAAATCCAATGATCTATAAAAAGGATAGGTATATTCCAAATATAGAAGAACAGTAGAATATTCAAAAACTATTTCTTGTGATTCACCACATTACCAGAAAAAAAGAAAGCTGATGCTTACTTTGACAGACACAATAAAGCATTTGACAAGATTCAACCTCCTTACAAGTTAAAAACAAAACAAACTAGCAGACAAGTATCAGAAGGGAATTTTTAAAAACGATGATAAATAAAAACCTACAGCACACATCTAATTTATTTTTTTCTTCCAGATTTAAAATTCTAGTTAGTTAACATACAGTACAATGTTGGTTTCAGGAGTAGAATGCAGTGATTCAGCACTTACATATAACACCCAGTGCTCATCGTAACAAGTGCCCTCCTTAATGCCCATCACCCATTTAGCCCATCCCCAACCCACCTCCCTCCAGCAACCCTCAAGTTTATTCTCTATAGTTAAGCTCTTATGTTTTACCTCTTTTTTCCCCATGTTCTTCTGTTTTGTGTCTTAAATTCTAATATGAGTAAAATCACATGGTGTTTGTCTTTTCTCTGATTTATTTTGCTTAGCATAATACACTCTAGCTCCATTCACATTGTTGCAAATGGCAAGATTTCATTCTTTCTGATGGTTGAGTAATGTTCTATTTTTTATATATGCCACATCTTCTTTATCCATTCATCAGTCAAAGGACACTTGGGCTCTTTCCACAGTTTGGCTATTGTTGATAATGCTGCTATAAACAATGAGGTGCATGTGCCCCTTCGAACCTGTATTTTTGTATCCTTTGGGTACATACCTAGTAATGCAATTGCTGGGTCATAGGGTAGTTCTATTTTTAACTTTTTGAGGAACCTCTACTGTTTTCCAGAGTGGCTGCACCAGTTTGCGTTCCCACCAACAGTATAAGAGGGTTCCCCTTTCTCCGCATCCTTGCTAACATCTGTTGTCTCCTGTGTTTTTAGTTTTAGCCGTTCTGACAGGTGTGAGGTGGTATCTCATCTTGGTTTTGATTTGTATTTCCCTGATGATGAGTAATGTTGAGTATCTTTTCATGTGTCTGTTAGCCATCTGGATGCCTTCTTTGGAAAAAAGTCTATTCATGTCTTCTGCCTATTTCTTAATTGGATTATTTGGTTTTTGGGTGTTGAGCTTGATAGTTCTTTATAGATTTTGGATACTAGCCCTTTATCAGGTACATCGTTTGCAAATATCTTCTCCCATTCTGTAGGCTGCCTTTTAGTTTTGTTGACTGTTTCCTTCACTGCGCAAAAGCTTTCTCTCTTGATGAAGTCCCAATAGTTCATTTTTGCTTTTGTTTCCCTTGCCTCAGGCGACGTGTCTAGTGAGAAGTTACTATGGCTGAGGTCGGAGATGTTGCTATATTCTCCTCTAGGATTTTGATGGTTTCCTGTCTCACATTTAGGTCTTTCATCCATCTTGAATTTATTTTTGTGTATGATCTAAGAAAGTGGTCCAGTTTCATTCTTCTGTGTGTTGCTCTCCAGTTTTCCCAACACCATTTGTTGAAGAGACTGTCTTTTTTCCATTGGATATTCTTTCCTGCTTTGTCAAATATTAGTTGGTCACGCAGTAGCACACATCCAATTTAAAAATAAATACTGAAGAGCTTTCCCACCCTGTCAGGGAAACCCAACATCATTCCTTCTCTTCAACACTGCTCTGAGGTATAATAAGGTAGGCCAGTCAAAGAAATTGAAGGTATCAAAATCAGAAAGGAACAAAACTATTGTTATTCTCAGAAGATAAAACTGCATATACAGAAAAATCCAAAGAATCTACAAATAATTATTAGAGTTAATAGTAAATTTGGCATGGTTGCTATATATAAGTTGAGTATTTAAAAAAACATGTATTTCCGTTTAGCCAAAAAAAAGGAAGAGTGAAGCTAAGAAAGGTAGTATTAAAACACTGTTTCAACAAGTTAGAAAGCAATTTACAAAAGATGTATGTAATCTCTGCACACACAAAAATCATAAAATACAGAGAAAAATTAAAACCTAAGTGGAAGGATATGTAATTTTCATGAATTATAAGATTCAGAATTATAAAGGTGTCAATTTGACAGTTCTAGAGATTAAATGGAACACCAGTTAAAAGCCCAACGGTGCTACTGGTTGGTTTGCTGAAGGTGGCAATCTGATTTTAAAACATATGTGGAAATGCAAAGGGCCAAGAACAGTCAAGATACTTAACATGAAAAATAAGGTAACAAGACTTATAAAGCCACAGTGTCATATTAACATAAGATAGACCCCAAATGTCCAATGGACATGTCTAATGGGCATAGCAAATGCAGGGCATTCATATAATAGAATACTATATATAGTAATGAAAAATAAGCTTCTTTTGTACTTAACATAGTTGCACCTAGTAAACACAAGTGAAAAAAAAGAGAAAGAATACATGGTACATGATTTCTTGTAAATAAAGTTCAAAAACAGGCAAAATTAATAGTAGATAGGAGGAGTAGTGCTCAGAATGGGCAAAAAAAAAAAATGGTTTCTGAGCTGCTAGTGGTGTTCTCTTTCTTGATCTGGGGGTGTACACAGGTAAGTTGTGGTAACTCACTGACTGCAAGTTTGTTTTATAAATAAATTTATGTATGCTTATTATGTTTAGTATGTATGTACTTAGCATGTATATTTATTATATGTTGATTAAAATGTTTCTGAAAATTTGAAGGACATTTATAATAAAACTGAATCCAAGAAAAACCAACCAATGTTATACTGCATACATTTTTCACATGTGACTTTATATTGATCTTAGACAAGAACAATGACAATGCAGTTTTAGTTTTTCTCTATGGAAAGCTCAAGATACCTCTGTTTTGCAGTTATTGGCAGTTAATGTCACATCACTTTCATCCACTTGTGAAATACTCTCCAGTTCTTCAGCCTGAAGTGTAACTGATCCTTCATTTAGCTGTGCTTTTAAGTCTCCTGTAGAAAATATACAATAATTCAACTTACATCTATATACTGTCTCACAGAAACAATCTGTAGGATAAGGACCACTCAACATGATTAATTGCCAAGAAAGAGTCTTTGTACCTCAATTAAAAGTCATCTTCACAAAAACTATTTAAATGTACGGTCACTAGGGCAAAGGATCAGGGCACTGTTAATTTGATTTTGCCAAGTTTAAACTTTGAAGAAGATTGTGGATTTTAATCTCTCCGTTTCAAATACTGACAAACTCATTTAATATTTTCAGCTTTAAACATTTCACAAATATACAATAAACTGAATTCAAAAATTAGTACTTCTTGGGGCACCTGGGTGGCTCAGTTGGTTGAGCGTCCAACTCTTGGTTTCAGCTCAGGTCGTTATCTCAGGGATGTTGAGAGTGTGGACCCTGCTTGAGATTCTCTCTCTCTCCCTCTCTCTCTGCCCCTCCCCCACTGCTCACGCACGCACGCTCTCTAAAAATAAAAATAAAAATGAGTCCCTCTTTACAATAATAGAAAATCAACTAATTTTATATATAGCTCCTTTATCCCAACTCCTCTACTAGATACAGGCTCTTTAAGGACTGGAGCATATTTTGTACAATTTATATATGTAGCACCAGGCACTGTACTAACAAAAAGTAGCTGTTCAATAATTGTATGTTATTATCAAGAAAGTTTGATTTTAAATATTTATCATAGAGGGGCGCCTGGTGGCTCAGTTGGTTAACCATCCAACTCTTGATTTTGGCTCAGGTCATGATCTCAGGGTTCTCAGATCGAGCCCACATTGGGCTCCATGCTAAGCAGGGAGTCTGCTGGAGATTCTCTTTCTCCTTCTACCCCTCACCACCCCCCTAAATAAATAAATAAATCTTAAAAAAAAAATTTATCATGGATATTTATCATACTTAGACTATCATAGTCGAAATCTCAAAATACCTTTTAAACCAAAAGTCTACCTAAATATAATAATAGTAACTACAGTTCACTAACTCAGTAGTTTAACAGGTCAAAATTAACTAGCCCATTTGAAAAAATTATATTTACTTTGGTTTTTTACAAAAGGATTTAGATGGATTTGGGCATCTTGTTTCCACTTTCAACTAAAAAGGCAATGTGGGTTATAGAAGAAGAATATCTGTAATACTGAAAAAAGTTCAAAACAATATATACATTTTCACTCTTATAAGAACATGATCATATAACCACTAACTTATAGGTAAAAAAAAGGTTACTAAACACTCCTTCATTTAATCCATTACCTGAAAATATATCATGGTTAAGATGAGCCATTTCTTTTTCCAAATTACTTCTTGATACATCAGATTTTCTTATGAGAGCAACAGGTTCTCTCTTCTCTGGTGATCTAATAAAATAACCAAATGATGGCTACAAAATAAACATGTGAATTATTTCCTTAATTTTTAACTGCTCTGAGAAATTCTAGACTATTTTATCTTACTATGGGTAACCTAGCTGAATTACTTCAACAAAATAATTGTTCTTTTCATTTAAACTCAAATAACTAGAGATGAACTTTAAAAGTCTACTTTTATTTCCTTACTACTATAATCAATCATCAAAACTAATACTGCCAAATAAGCTGCTCTTACTAAGAAATCCAAATTCAAACCACCCAGAAAAGACATTTCATTCATTCAGTAATTATTACTGAGCAGCTACTGTGTCAGCACTGTTAATCATCAGTGTGACATATCAATGAGAAAAAAGATGTGACATATCAATGAAAAAAAAGATAAAATGTCAAAAATGTCCTGCCTTCTTAAAACTTACAAGTTCAAGGATATTTATTTTATATAATACATCCTCAAAAATCTGTATTAAGGGGCGCCTGGGTGGCTCAGTCGTTAGGTGTCTGCCTTCGGCTCAGGTCATGGTCGCAGGGTCCTGGGATCGAGCCCCACATCGGGCTCTCTGCTCAGCGGGAAGCCTGCCTCTCCCTCTCCCACTCTCCCTGCTTGTGTTCCCTCTCTCGCTGTGTCTCTGTCAAATAAATAAAATCTTAAAAAAAAAAAATCTGTATTAAGATTTGGTATGTTCCTAGCACTTGGATGAAAGTGTTAAGGAGCAGGGAATTCCCACCTGTCTTTCCTATACAACTTTGACATGATAGACCTGAAATGTAAACTTATTAAATGCACTCAATTTTCGATAGATCTTCACCTGGGAATTTCTTCCTTTGATCCAGCAACTTGAATGCAAGTAACATTTCATAACTAAAACCAAAACAGAAATTCTAAATGATAGATCTATTTTTCCATGATCCACTGCTTTGTTTGTTGAGTAAGGAATTAATTTCTTCTTCAACTTCTCTCATAATGTCAAAACCCCAATCAATCCAGGCAGGAAAATCTGTCTCTCCAAAGCACTTATTTTCATTGTTTAATTCACTGCACAGACAGGAATGTACAGGGACAGGATGTGTCAGGGAACCCCAACATCATCACTTCTCTTCAACATTGCTCTGAGGTGTTATCAGGTAGACCAGTCAGAGAAACGTAAGGAATCAAAATCAGTTTAGTTTCAAATTTATGTTCTGTATATCGACTTTGAGTTCTAACACCATGGCTATTATTTCAAATTATATTTAGTGAAATCCAGTTTTAATACCACTCCCTCCAATAACCCAACTCCCTATATGGAATTCATCAAGCCCTATGACTCTACCTCCAAAAGAAATCTTGAATCCTTGATTTTTTCTGTGTCTGTACTATCATTCTAGACTCCAGCCTTCACCACATCTCTTCCCATGTACTAACCCTCTGCCTGCTGCTATTCCTCCTTTCAGTTCACTGCTCCTCTCCACCCAGGTTCCATATACAGTAGCATCATGTCACACATGGAGATGGGGCCGGCACCACGACAAAGTTGCTCCCTGCCTCCAAGCACTTCTTCCCAATTAATTTCACATGAACCCAAGTCCTACAAAGACCCCTCATGATCTGGTCCTGGTCTTCTTCTACCATTGAACCATCCTACCCTCTCTCCCTCCCTCCATTTACATTTAGCTCCCCTGGCCTGGTTTCTGTTCCTCAATATGCCACTCTAGTTTCTACCTCCAAGCCTCCACATAGATGGTCCCCTTTTGCTGGGAACACTCTGCCTCCAGATCTTTTGGCAGCCTCCTCCTTCTCATCATTTAGGTCCCAGTTCAATGCCATCTCCTCAGAGGTCGCCCTGATCACCACAGCTAAAGCAACTCCTCACCATTCTTCATAGAACTTACTACTATTGCTTACATTTTCCAATTTTTACATGTATTACAACTTATTAAACCAAAACTTTCCTATATTTCAAAACATGTTTTCAGGTAAGAGGTTAAAAAAGTCAATCTTCGAATTCTTCCCATCAACGAATGATATAAAATAGCAATATCAATAACACGTATTGAATACTTGGTGCAAGTTAGTCTTGGTTGCTAAATGCTTTATGTGTCTCATCACACTTAATTCTTACGAAACCCTATAAAATAGCACTCCATTTTAAAAATTGGAAAATTAAAGCATAGATGAGTTAAATAAATTGTTCCATGTCACAGAGTTAGTTAAAAGATAGAACTAGGACTGGAGTCAGGGTCTGACCAACCATAAAACCTAAGCTGTCTACCACAATTCTATCATGTCCCTATTCTGTCCCTGCTGTAAAGATACTATGCTGTAGCTAATACCATCATAACATTCAAAATATAAGGGCTGGTGAATTCAACCACTTGTAGCACATATTATACTTACTCTTTTCACATTGTAACCGCCACCAAGGCAACCAAGAGCTTCAGATCTTTGAGCAAAGAACTCTCCTAAAGATAGGCGTAAATAACTGGCATCATCTTTGTCCAAATCTGATGTGCTAAGTGATTTCCTCAACAAACCATAATTAATTGAAGTTCCCCAAGACGTATCCCCTAGAGCAGCTGAAGTGTTCTGGGCATCTATATTTTCTTCCTAGAGAGAAAGTTATTGTTTCATTTTATTTCCCCAGCAAGGCTTCTTTCTGTTCTTCTAATATGCAAAAATAAGAAAATTGAACTAAGAAAATTTAAACATTTTAATTAAAAAAAAATAGGACAAATTCAAGCTTAAGCAGCTAATAATAAGGTAATGAACATATTCAATTTGTTAAAATAGCATTACTTCATTTTAAAACATGGTTAAAAACTACGGAAAGATCTTTAAAGCCTATTAAGGTGATTCTAAATGAATTGAACATTATTTTAGTGTGCCAGTTACTTTTTAATTAATAACTGAGAGTAAGAATGCAAAAGCAATTGTGTAAACATGAGAAAACAAGATATAATTCTATACAAACTATGTATCTACCCAGAAAGAATACAGGTTAAAATTTTAAACTTTGGGTAATGCCAATAAAATACAAACCTGCATAAATTGATGCTCTTTATTAAATTCTTCTTCATCTTGATTAATCAAATCCAGTGCTTCAGCTTAAAAAAGAATTAGTTTATATAATTAAATTATACTAATGCCTAATTAAAAACTAGCAGATATTTAAAACTTAGCTAGTTAGGAAAATGAAACACTAAAGAAAATAACTGAAAAAAGTATATGAAAGCTTTCATCATACAACTATACATCAGTTTTAAGTATGTAGTCTCTGGTTCTCAAACTTTTGGTAATGAACACTCTACTGTTACTGATTTCATCCGCTACTAATTTGTCCTAACTTACTAAAGGGCCTTTACAATGTAAGCTTTTTATTTGTAAAAGATTCACACTAATTTTAGCTTTTGAAGATTTTGGCACAACTGATTTAAGGCACTCACCCGTGAATACCTGTGAAATTTTATCTGGAACCATCACAACAGTAAGTCACTGTAAACTTGTGAAGAGGTCTGCTGGGGTACCCAACCACCTGTTTGCCCAAGACTGTCTCAGTTTTAGAAAGGAAAGTCCCACATCCCAGCAAACCCCACAACCTGGACAAACTAAAACAAATGGTTATCCAACATCTGCCCTCAAAGTTCCTACCAAGCAACTCAGTTTGCCTTAGGGAAATGAATGGGCCTGGATACCTTCAATCTCTAAACCAAAGCCACAAACTAAAATGCCTCAGAGACCAGAGGTGGATGAGCAGAAAGGACCAGGTGTGACACAACAGGGAGTGATGGGATAGTGGCAAACTAGAAAGCACATGATCCTGCTCAAGGCATTAGAATCGAAAAGAATTTTAAACATACTGACTAATCGGAAAGTCTGCAGGCTCTCTGCCTGCCTGCTACCCACTCTGGGCCTCTGCCTGGTACTTTAGGAGACTGGCTGAAATGGGAAGTTGCATGCAACCCGGAAGAGACAGTCTACCATGGCCCAAACAAGAGAGGTGTCCCCCCACACTCATTAGTCCATCAGGAGCTAATCAGATCCAAATTGCCCTTTTGGAAACCCTTATAGTTCAACATTAATATCTTGAGAAACACAATGAGAACAGAAATAGAATATTTCCAATCAGGAAAAACAGAACACCAGAGATAGCTCAGATCCTTACCTGTTAGGATAGTGGGGGTTCTTTACCTTGTGAACCCATCATTTCTTATATAAACACATTCTTAACCTAGAGCTCTATGAAAGGGCATCAGGAGAACAATGAAACTCTCAAAATCACATGAAAAACACAATCTTTCACATAAAAATTTTTCTATGAAGATTCTCTGGTGCCCATGACTCAAAGTATGTTAAAAGTCATTGCTCTAAAATGTGAAAGTATCAACCAACCAAATCTAACAGCCAAGGGAGGGGAGGTAGGAAATCAGACCACTAAGAAGATAGCCCAGAAAAACTTAATTTACTTCACTGCGTTAAATATCAAATGTTTTTCTGGGGCTCAGTCGGTTAAACGGCTGCCTTCAGCTCGCGTCACGATCTCAGGGTCCTGGGATCAAGACCCATGTCGGGCTCCCTGCTCAGCAGGGAGTCTGCTTCTCACTCATCCTCTATACTCTCCCTCTGTCTCTCAAATAAATAAATCTTTTTTAAAAAATCAAATGTTTTCAAACCATTAACTAAACAGTTCCAACTGCTTTTTATTACACTCCGAAGTACTTTTTTCTCTGAACTTTAACAGATTCTTCAATTAAAGAAAAATCTACAGTAATATTGCTACCTTGTATGCTCACCAGAAATCAGCCAGCAATTATGAGAAAATAGAAATTCTTTTTTTTTTAAGAATCTATACCCAATTCTTTGCCAAATCTAAAATAGTCCTTTCAAGTATCTCCTGAATGTTTTAGTTGTTAAATTTTGAAGCAGGCCATATACCCCAGCCCCCCAGCCATGTTTAAAACCTAGGCCATAAGCAGAAGTGATATAGTGACTCAGATGCATGGAGCTGTCAGAGAGGGGCAAGGCAGAAATGGGGCAGAGGGTGTCCTATCTCTCATTTTCTTTCCTTCCACCACACTTTTCCCCACAGTATTCCATAATCATTTTCCCCATTTCTTCACCATTCTTTCCAACCTGGCCTTTGTTCATTCCCTAACCACAAGGATGGTTTCATTAAACTTCTTTTATCTATTTTATTTTTCCTTAAATAGTAACACACCTACATAGTTCAAAATGCAAAGGTACACATATGTATGATTCAACAAAGAGTTTTGAGAAATTAACCAAAGACATAAAAGGGAATATGGCACTGAAAAGTCTCCCCATCATTCCTGACCCTACATCCCACATTTTCAAAAGCAACCAATATATAAAGTACCCCTGAAATCCCGATTTGAATCTATTTGATTTTTTAGTTCAGTAGCTAGGGATTCCTGCAATCCATTTCTTTCTCTTTAAAAAAAAAAAAATCTTGGGGTGCCTGGGTGGCTCAGTCGTTGAGCGACTGCCTTTGGCTCGGGTCATGATTACAGGTCCTGGGATCGAGCCCCACATCGGGCTCCCTGCTCGGCGGGAGGCCTGCTTTTCCCTCTCCCACTCCCACTGCTTGTATTCCCTCTCTCAGTGTCTCTCTCTGTCAAATAAATAAATAAAATCTTTAAAAAAAAAAAAATCTCTACACCATATGTATTTATAAATGTGTGTGTCCTCCCCCCTTCCACCTTTTTACATAAATGTCAGAATATTTCATATGCTCTTCTAGGTCTTGGAATGTAAACAATTTATTTTCGTGATTATGCCGTATTAGTGAATGTTCCAACTTTCCCCTTTTTTAATGACCACGGTGTATTTTCCTTGTATGGACGTACCTTATTTAATTAGTCCCCTGTTTTGTATATCCATATTGCTTCCAACCTTTTGTTATTTTAAACAATATGTATCACATACCATTTCTGCAAGCCTATCTGAAGAATAAATTCCCAGCAGAACCCCTTGGTTACAGGGTGTGTACATCTGTAATTTTGCTAGATGCTGTAATACTGCTCTACCTAGACCCTGTGCCATAAATACTACAATACCTATTTCCTTCACACTCTTGCCAACATAGTTTTATTACCAAACTATTGGATCACTGCCAGTGAAATAATGGAAAAATAGTATCATGGAGTGGTTTCTTTCCATGAATAAGTTCCATGAACTTTTTTTGAACATTTAACAACCATTTTCATTTCCTTTTCTCTAAATTGCCAGTTTATATATTTTGCCTAATTCTATGCTGAAAAGCTGGTCTTTTTCTTATTTATCAGAACTATTTACACATTAGGAAAATGGGCCCTTAACCTGTAACATGAATTGCAAGTATTTTTTCTCAGTCTGATCACGAATTTTTAAAAACTGTTGACCAAAGTACAATATACATATGAAGAGTATTTATGTGTACAACTCAATGAACACATTTGTGTGGCCAGATCAACACCCTAGATCAAGAAAGAGAACTTTGCTAGCACCCCCAAAAGGCCAATCAAGCTTCCTTCCCATTACTACATGCCCATCGGAGGATAACCAGTATCCTTACTTCTTACTCCACAGAGCAGGGTACATTTTGAAATATATACAAATAGATTTATATAGCATGTACTCTTTACTCTGCCTTATTTCATTCAATATACTTGTGAAATTCATCCCCACTGCTACAAGTAGCTACACATCATTCATTCCCATTGCTACATAGCATTCCAATGTGTGAATAAACACAATCCATTCTATCATTAATGAGAATTGGGGAGTTTCTAATTCGGAGTTGATCATATAGTGCTGCTATAAATATTTTAGTCTTTTGGTGAAGAGTACATCTATACACTGGATATATACTCTGGTGCAGAATTACTGGGGGCCCCAAAGTATGAAGTTCATAAAGTTTACCTCCAAAAGCTCCTGCTAGACAAGTTTCTGAAATGGTTCTATCACTTTACACCCCCACCAGTTACACATGAGAATTCCATGACCACTTTTAAGTGACACAGTCGATATCCACTGTCCAGCCTGTACCCTCGTGTTCTTTCTAAATCAAGATATTATTGAGCAAGCTTGAACTTAATTTAATTTCCAGTTTCTGGCTCACATTTCCCACCTCAAACCACAGTTATTCAAAATTCTACAATTTCTTCTAATTTTCCCATCTCAGTTCACGGTACTGCCATTTTCTCAAGTAACTCAGACCACAAACCTCAATCTTTTCTTGCCTCTCTATCTACTGAAATCCAGTCACCAAATCCTAACCATTTTATTTCCAGGTCTTTCATTATCTACTTGCTTTTCATTCTCACCGTGACACCTAGATTTCTACAATATCCTAAGGAATCTCCCAATCAACTGACCATTGATGCCAGAAGTTGGACAAATGAAGTCTTTAGTGGCTCCCTATTGCTTACCACACAAGCCTCAACTCTGACATGGTAGTCAAAGCTCAACCCACTCCTTGGCCCTACTCTACCTCTCCAGCTTCACCTCTTCACCTTTTATTACTCTCCTCTTCCCATATCTTGTCATAAATGCTAACTACATTGGACTATTTACCATTCTCAAAACACACCCAGACTTCCTCATTTCATTCTCTTTCATTGGGTTTCCTATCCATTTGGAATTTCTCATGCCCTCAAACATTTACCTGTTCAAACTCTTACCTCAAAAGCTACCTCCTATGTGAAATCCTTGTCACCCACTCATGCAAAAGTTATTTTTCCTCTAAACTCCAAAACCATTTGGTTTGTGTTTCTTATAATGCTGATGGTTGTTTTACTCTTGTCTTACCACCCTTAGCTGATGGACAATTTCTTAGAGGCTGGAAAAATACCTTATTTGTCTCTACCTTCCACATCATTAGATGTTTAGGAGGAGCTTAGTACAAACAGGAGTTAGAGTAACTTCTTGCTGTGGCATGTTCTGAGTCTATTAAAAATAAGACTAGGCTTGACAGGCCATTTCAAGGCATTCATGCCTTTCCTCATTGCAGGTTTAGAGGTGCCCAGCACTGGAGGCCTCCGTGGCACACCATCTCCATAGACTAAGGCTCAAAATGCAATTTGTTTGGCAGACTGAAACTGGTTTTTCCTTTCACTGTCAGAGATTCTGCTAATCAAACCTAGCTGATATTCCTAATGCTCTCATCTTTTGAGATTTATCTTTTCTGTCACTTTTCTCCCATCGCTTCCATATTTCTTAGGTTTTACTCCAAAACAGACTGGATTTTGTAATTGCTCATTTATCATAATATTTCTTTTGTTCAGGACAGAATTTTAAAAGTGAGAATGTACAGCCTGAGGTCCCTGTTAACTCTGCAATATGAAGGTTCTAAACTGATATAAAAGAATGATAGTCTGACTCACTGTCCTTAAGGAAAAGGCTCAGCTCATTCTGCAATGATTAGCACTAACTCAAGCCTTTGTTCCTATAAACACTATTGATAAGCTAAATATTACAGCTAACCCTTGAACAACATGGGTTTGAACTACACAGGTCCACTTAACACAGATTTTTTTTTATAAATACAGTATAGTGCTATGAATGTATTCTCTCCCTTATGATTTTCTTGACTTTTTCTTCTCTCTAGCTCACCCTACTATAAGAATACTGTATATAATACATGTAACATACAAAATAGGTGTTAATTGACTATGTTATCGCTTAAGGCTTCTGGTAAAGAGTAGGCTGTAGGTAGTTAAGATTTTGGGGAGTCAAAAGTTATATGCAGATTTTGAAATATGCAAGGAGTTGGTACACCTTAACCCCCACATTGTTCAAGGTTCAAATGTATACTCCAAAAACGCAGATTTTGAAATATGCAAGGAGTTGGTACACCTTAACCCCCACATTGTTCAAGGTTCAAATGTATACTCCAAAAGTGATTTGATGTGGCTAACCAATATATACAGAGTAATCTCAGAACACCATCAAAAACAATGAAAATGGTACAATAAAGTGGTTATCAATACACTTACAACCAGATCTGAAGTCTTCATTCATCTCGTCAGTTAGAGACACATTTAAATTTTGTTCTTTATTAAAAGATGTATAATATGCAAGGTCAGTGACCCATCTGCCCTCTTCATTTTGATAGACAACACTTTGTGGTAGATCTGTATCTAAAAAATTCCAAAAATATCCAATGACATATGAAACAAAATGATATAATATTCTTAATAATTTTACTTAGTTGACTTATCTATCAACAGTACTGAAATCTGCCCAAAACTAGTTAGAAAAAAGAAAATCCATTCCCACAAAAGGAAAGTTCTTTAATGGTGGATAAGCCAGCCTTAACCCAGTAAAAATCTGTAATGGAGAACCAGGGGCAAAAGGAAAAGAAAACTAGGACTTAGAGTAGTACATTTCCACTAGATCTGTGAATAAAGATACAATTTCTAATCCATAAAACACAATTATTTTATTACAAAAGATAAAGCAAGTTCCACTTGAAAATATATTCTATTCAAAATGTATAAACATTTTATACATTTCTTTACTTTTATTTTTTAAAAAAAAAAGACCTACTCACCCTCTTTACTCTTTTTAATGGACTTATAATAATTACATGTTCGCCTTTCACTAGTTGGTGACCGAAGACTATCAGTGGAATTAATTTCACTGTCACTAACAGGCTTCAAAGATGCTATGTCCACATATTTTTGAATGGACACTTCAGGCGTTTCAGTGTCTAAACATCTATCCACGGGCAAAACTCTTTCTGAATCAGATGCCAAATGCTTATTTTGATGAAGAGACCCGGCCTCCAGTTTCAAAGGGTCCATTAAGTCAAAATCACCTTTACTGGCATTTGTGTCATGAAAACAAACAGGGTTAAGTTTCGCATTAGTAGCCTGGATAGTCTTCACAGGAACTTCTTCTCTTGTGCTTTCCTTTAAAAATGCATAACAGAGCAGCCATAAGTTTTGTTTTTCATAACTTATTCCAAAACTTTATGGGGAAAAAATTATGTAGTAGACATAAATGATTATTATATGAAGCATCAGACTATACAGTATTCACTCTACTCTTTTAGACTATATATGAACCAATTTTAAGCAATATACCAAAACCAAAATTCATGTGGTCATTACAAACATTTATCAACAGATTCAGATATCAAAAGTGGGTCCAACATGTTCATTTTTTTACAGGATGTAAGAAATGTCAGTTTAACTTTTGTAATTACCACTAAAACTCTCTACAAGGATGGCAAGCCCATTAATGTAACCTAACTCATAAAATTAATATGACTAACATCCCTTGAAAACAGATATATTATAATACTTTTTAGAATTGATCCCATGTACTATTACACCAAAAAACCATAAGATACCTAGGAATAAACCTAACCAAAGAGGTAAAACTAAAAGATCTGTACTCTGAAAATTATAGAACACTTATGAAAGAAATTGAAGAGGACACAAAGAAATGGAAAAGCATTCCATGTTCATGGGCTGGAAGAACAAACATTGTAAAAGTGTCTATACTACCCAATGCAATCTATACACTTAATGCAATCCTTATCAAAAGATCACCAGGGCGCCTGGGTGGCTCAGTCGGTTAAGCGACTGCCTTCAGCTCAGGTCATGATCCCGGGGTCCTGGGATCGAGTCCCACATCAGCTCCCTGCTCTGCGGGAAGCCTGCTTCTCCCTCTCCCACTCCCCCTGCTTGTGTTCCCTCTCTCGCTGTGTCTCTCTCTGTCAAATAAATAAATAAAATCTTTAAAAAAAAAAAAGATCACCAGCATTTTTCACAGAGCTAGAACAAACGATCCTAAAATTTAAATGGAACCACAAAAGACCCCAAGTAGCCAAAGCAATCCTGAAAAAGAAAAGCAAAGCTAGAGGCATCACAATTCCAGACTTCAAGCTATATTACAAAGCTGTAGTCATCAAGACAATATGGTCCTAGCACAAAAACAGACGCATAGATCAATGGAACAGAACAGAAAAGCCAGAAATGGACCCACAACTATATGGTCAACTAATCTTCAACAAAGCAGGAAAGAATATCCAATGGAAAAAAGACAGTCTCTTCAACAAATAGTGTTGGGAAAACTGGAGAGCAACATGCAGAAGAATGAAACTGGACCACTTTCTTAGACCATACACAAAAATAAATTCAAAATGGATGAAAGACCTAAATGTAAGACAGGAAACCATCAAACTCCTAGAGGAGAACATAAGCAGCAACATCACTAACCTCAGCCATAGCAACTTCTCACTAGACACGTCGCTTGAGGCAAGGGAAACAAAAGCAAAAATGAACTACTGGGATTTCAGCAAGATAGAAAGCTTCTGCACAGCAAAGGAAACAGTCAACAAAACTAAAGGGCAGCCTACAGAATGGGAGAAGATATTTGCAAACGACATACCTAATAAAGGGCTAGTATCCAAAATCTATAAAGAACTTATCAAACTCAACACCCAAAAACCAAATAATGGGCAGAAGACATGACTAGACTTTTTTCCAAAGAGGGCATCCAGATGGCTGACAGACACATGAAAAGATACTCAACATTACTCATTATCAGGGAAATACAAATCAAAACCAAGATGAGATACCACCTAACACCCGTCAGAATGGCTAAAATTAACAACATTAGGAGACAACAGATGTTGGCAAGGATGCAGAGAAAGGGGAACCCTCTTACACTGTTGATGGGAATGCAAACTGGTGCAGCCACTCTGGAAAACAGTATGGAGGTTCCTCAAAAAGTTAAAATTGAGGGGTGCTTGAGTGGCTCAGTCAGTTAAGCCCGACTTTTGATTTTGGCTCAGGTCACAATCTCATGGTTGTGGGATTAAGCCCCTCATCAGGCTCCATGCTCAGCATGAAGTCTGCTTGAGATTCTCTCTTACCCCCTGCCTCTGCCCACCCCACCCCACCCGCTCACCCTCTTTCTCAAAATAAATAAAATCTTTGAAAAGAAATGTTAAAAATAGAACTACCCAGCAACCCAGCAACTGCACTACTAGGTATTTACCCAAAGGACACAAAAATACAGATTCAAAGGGGTACATGCACCCGATGTTTACAGCAGCATTATCAGCAATAGCCAAACTATGAAAAGAGCTCAAGTGTCCATCTACTGATAAATGGATAAAGAAGATGTGGTACATATATATTATTTATACACACACACACACACACACACACACTGGAATAATAAATACTCAGCCATCAAAAAGAATGAAATCTTGCCATTTGCAATGACATGGATGAAACTAGAATGTTATTATGCTAAGTAAAATAAATCAGAGAAAGACAAATACCATATGATTTCACTCATATGTGGAATTTAGGAAACAAATGAATGTATGAGAATAGGGAAAGAGAGAAAGAGAGAGAGAGAGAAGCAAACCATAAGAGCCTCTTAACGACAGAGAAAAAACAGGGTTACTGGAGAGAGGTGGGGGGGGGATGGGCTAAATGGGTGATGGGCATTAAGGTGGGCACTTGTTATGATGAGCACTGGGTGTTATATGTAAGTGCTGAATCACTGCATTCTACTCCTGAAACCAATTATTGCACTATATGTTAACTAACTAGAACTCAAATACAAATTTGGAAAAAAAAATCCAAAATACCTTTTAGCAGGAGTAAAACAGCATATACTACAGATGCCCCTGAGCTGTCCAATAACAACTGCATCAGACATGGCAAATTAAGCCAGCACCTCAAAACCATGCTCTCCAACATACTTTCCCAATTGGCATTTCTTATTCTTTCCTAGAATAACAACTGTGAAAAAGTGCCCAAGTGCCTAGAAAACTCTTTTCAGACATTCAGCTACCATCATAATTTCAAGTGCCAATAAAGCATTTAAGAGTCGTTTTTCTGTTATGAGATGTATGATGACAAAAACAGCCTTACAGGCAAAGTTCTTTAAAGTTAAAATACTAAAAGCAGGTAGTTCTACATAAAAGAAAAGATGCTGACTTTGAAAAAAAAAAAAAGTCATAGGTTTAAATCCTAGTGTCAGCACTTATTAACTGAGTGATCTGCCAATAATGTTATACAAAAAATAAACTTACATCCTACCTTAGACCAAAATAAATCCCAGATGGCTTAAACATTTAAATGCAAAAGTGCTAGGAGAAAATACCAATGAATAGTTTTATACTCTTTAGTAAATAACATCTATGTATTAACACTCGTGGGTTAAAAATTTCCCAGTTGTAATCCCAGGTCCTGTAAATTGTGACCTTATTTGGAAACAGGGTCTTTGCAAGTGTAATTAAGTTAAGGATCATGAAATAAAATCATCCTGCATTTTGAATGGGCCTTTAACCCAATGAGCAATGTCCTTATAAGAGAAAAAAGATTTAGCAGGACAGGGCGCCTGGGTGGCTCAGTTGGTTAAGCGACTGCCTTCGGCTCAGGTCATGATCCTGGAGTCCCTGGATCGAGTCCCGCACTGGGCTCCCTGCTCGGCAGGGAGTCTGCTTCTCCCTCTGACCCTCCCCCTCTCATGTGCTCTCTCTCATTCTCTCTCAAATAAATAAATAAAATCTTTAAAAAAAAAAAAAAAGATTTAGCAGGACACAGAGACACTGAGAAAAAGGCCATGTGAAGATGGAGGCAAATATTCAAATGATACTGCCACAAGCTAAGGAAAACCAAGAGCTACCAGATGCTGGAAGAGGCAAGAAAGGTGCCTTTGGAGGGACCTTAGCCCTTCCAATACCTTGAATTTACAACTTTTGGCTTCTAGAGCTGTGAGAATAAATTTCTATTGTTGAAGGCTACCAAATGTTGGTAATTTGTTCCTGCAGCCCTAGGAAACAAATACAAACATTAAAGCCTAAAATGCATAAGGACTGGGAGAGGGAAGGCCATCTGAAGACACAGGGAGAAAAAGGCCATCTATAAGGCAAAGAGATAAGCACAAGGAGAAACCAGCCCCACAGAAATCTCAATCTCTGACTTTTCTAGAAGTGTAAGAAAGTAAATTTCTTATTGTTTGAGCCAAATAAGTAAATAAATAAGTAAAATGTGTAAGAATCAAAATATCTCCTTAACAGAGAAAGCTTATTAAAACAATAGTTAAAATATGAATATTCCAACAGAAAAAAAGACAAGGAAATAAGGTTATGCCATTTAAAAACAGATAACTATTTTTCATATAGAATACTAGCAAAGATTAAAAAGAACCAGAGTGAAACAGAGATTTTAAAAAAAACGACAGATAAGATCAATGAAACTAAGAGTTGGTTCTCTGAAAAGATAAACAAAACTGACAAACCTTTAGAGAGGCTTATCAAGATAGAGAACTCAAATAAATAATATTAGAAATGAAAGAAGAAAAGTTACAACCGACACCACAGAAGTACAAAGGATTATAAGACAATACTATGAAAAATTACAACCCAATAAACTGGACAACCTAGAAGAAATGAATTAATTTCTAGAAACATACAATATTCCAAGACTGAATCAGGAAGAAATAGAAAATCTAAACAGACTGGTTACTACTAACAAATTAATCAGTAATCAAAAAACTACCAACAAACAAAAATCCTGGAACAGATGGCTTCGCTGGTGATTTCTACCAAACATGTAAACAAGAGTTAACACCTACTCTTCCTAAACTGTTTCAAAAAATAGAAGAAGTAATGCTTCCAAATTCATTCCACAAGACCAACATTAACCTGATACCAAAATTATAGAGCCATATCCCTGATAAACATAGATACAAAAATCCCCTAAAATATTAGCAAAGCAAATTTAACAACACATTAAAAGGATCATTTACTATGATCAGGTGGTATTTATTCCAGGTATGCAAGGATGGTTCAATATTCATACTTCAACCAACATAATTACCAAAATGTGAAGGCTAAAAATCGTATGATCATCTCAACAGATACAGAAAAAATATGACA